TCTCAAAAAACAACTTTACAGCAATTGTGATGAGCACTTCCAGTTTGGGGCCCTTAGCAAATAAGGGCTTCCCACTTACAACCAGCGCATTCACTTAATGACCGCTGCAAAAAAATAAGCGGAGGAAAATGTGTTGAATATATACAGTATATTAAAAATAACAAAGCCAGGATATAAATTAAAAATTGTAAAATCAGGTCGGTCACATGACCAATCCGCTTAACAACAATTACAGGGAAGGCTCCATTACAGTCATAACTCAAGGACACTTGTATAAGGAAGCTGTAAGAAATGAAATGGAAAGACCCATTGAGTTCCTATAGATTCACCCATGGACTTTTTCTTCAAAGCAACATAAAAGTGATTTAATAACTTCCTAGATGTTCTTTTGACTTCCAGAGATGGTGAAATCAGCCGGTTCAGACCGGTTCTGCAGAACTGGTAGTTAAATTTTGAGTAGTTGGGAGAACCGGCAAATTCCACCTCCGATTGGCCCCCTCCCCATTTCTTCTCCGCCGCCCATTGAGTCCCATCTGATCTCCTTTGGTTGCCCTGCACAGGAGAACGGAGCTGGAAAGCAGGTTAGTGGGGTGGGGAGGGAAGGGGGATTTTGCAGTATATCCTTCCCTTGCCACGCCCACCAAGCCACACCAGGCCCACCAAGCCACGCTCACTGTAGAGTTGTAATTGCAGGAATGTTCCAATCTCGGATGACAAGCCTTAGATAAAGAATGTTTCCAAGCAAATACAACTCAGGCAAACAAAGTCACTAATCTAAAGGAGGATTAGAGAGAGGAAGTAAACATATGTTAGACTTTAATTAGAGATAATTAATTGTATGGATTACTGTGCTAAACAGTAATGAAAGTTAAGCAGTAACCAAAGTTAACCAGTGATGGAGGATAACTAAAAATGTGTATAAATGCAAGACTAGACTCCAATAAAGATCATCATGATTCAGTTGTTCATGATCAAACAACTTGACTGCCTCGTCATTACAACAGCTCACAGACCCAGTAGTAAAAAATTTGAATCCCACCACTGTTGACTTCTACTAGCTCAAAACCCTGGACATTCTCCCTGGCACCTCATCCAAAAACTAGCCACGTCCATCTCTACAGGTAGTCCTCAACTTCAGACCATTCGGTTTAGTGACCATTCGAAGTTATAACAGCACTGGAAAAAAAATGACTTACGATTGTTTTTCATACAACCATTGCAGCATCCCTCTGGTCACATGCTCGAAATTTGGACGCTTGGCAATTGACTCAGATTTATGACGGTTGTAGTGTCCCGGAGTCACATGCGATCCCTGTTTGCGATCTTCTGACAAAAGCAAAGTTCGTGGGGGGAAGCCAGATTCACTTAACAACTGTGTTGCTAACTTGACAACTCAGTGATTCACTTAACAACTGCAGCAAGAAAGGTCGGAAAACGGAGCAAAACTCACTTAACAACTGTCTTGCTTAGCCTGAAAAAATTGGGGTTGCAAGTTGAGGACTGTCTGTATTTACCAGTCATTTCTGTAATCAGTAAATTCTAAAGCCAGAATTTCATATATATTTTTCTCCTGTCTCGAGCACAAAGTCCAGGAGTGGTTTCAAAGTATAAACAAAACTTGGTATATTCTTTGATTAAAACAGCTAGCTTGGCCATCTCTTACAAGCTCCATCAGTTTTTCCATCCATTCTTCCATCGTGGAGATTAATATCTTTCCATTTTTGCAGATAAAAAATTATTGCTGATGTAGTGAGCAGGTACAATATTTTTTTTTTTTCAAATTCCTTATCCGGCAGTCCTAAAAGAAAAATCTCTGGTTTCAGTTTTACATTAATTTTAAGAATCTTTTGCATTAAAATATGAAACCTGGCCCCAGACTTCTAGAAACCTGGCATTGGGTAGTAAACTGACATCATGACTTTATTGCACATAATTGTTAAGTTTAAACCGGGTGAACTAAAAATGATTTTCAGTTTTATTGTGATAATGTCTTCTTTTGGTTGGCATTGTCTATTCTTCCATTATTAGAATATTTTCCCAGCCTATTTGCCTCCATATGGAAAGGTTCAAATCCTTTCCTGTTTTCCAAAACTCTTTCAGTTCCTCTACTTTATCAGAGATTTGCAACTTCAATCTGCAATCTTTTTCTTTCTTTTTTTACATTTCAGGAAGTTCCATATTTAGACACTTTTAGATAAGTAGTCGGTTTGTGACCACAACTGAGCTCAAAATTTCCACGATTAAGCGAAACATTTGCTGAGTGAATTTTGCTCCACGTTACAACCCTTCTCGCCAGAGTTTGTTAAGGGAATCCCTGCAGTTGTAACATTAGTCAAACGGTTGCTAAGTGAATCCCCACTGAGTGCTTGTCAGACGGTCACAAAAGGGATTGTGTGACACACACACACACACCGGGACACTGCAACTGTCACAAATATGAGTCGGTTGCTAAGTGCCGGGATTTTGATGCTGTGATCATAAGGATTCTGCAACGGCCATTGAGAGGGATCTTGGAGTCTTAGTGGACAACCAGCTACATATGAGCTAGCCGTGTGCAGCAGCAGCCAAAAAAGCCAATGCAACCCTAAGTTGCATTAACAGAAGGATACAATCGAGATCAGGTAAGGTACTAATACCACTCTATAAAGCCTTAGTAAGGCCACACCTAGAGTCCTGCATCCAGTTTTGGTCACCACACTATAAAAAAGAATGTTGAGACTCTAGAAAAAGTGCAGAGAAGAGCAATCAGGATGATTAGGGGACTGGAGGCTAAAACATACAATGAACGGTTGCAGGAACTGGGCTTGACTAGTCTTGGAAAGAGAAGGACCAGGGGAGACATGATAGCGGTTTTCCAATATTGGAGGGGTTGCCACAGAGAGGAGGAAGGGGTCAAGCTATTCTCCAAGGCACCCGAAGACCAGACAAGGAATAACAGATGGAAACTGGACAAGGAGAGATTCAATCTAGAAATAAGGAGAAACTTTCTGACAGTGAGAACAATCAATCAATGGAACAGAAGTTGCCCTCGGAAGTTGTGGGAGCTTCAACACTTGAGACTTTCAAGAAGAGACTGGACTGCCCTCTGTCAGAAATGGTGTAGGGTCTCCTGCTTGGGCAGGGGGTTGGACTAGATGACCTACAAGGTCCCTTCTAACTCTGTTAATCTGTTACATCTGTTAAACTTTGAACAGTCATTAAATGAACTGTTGTAAATTGAGGACTACCTGTGACTTTAATTTCACTTTGTTTCTTTATACATTTTTCTTTATAAGTTTTACAAAAAGCATAAAAACTAACTAATCAAAACCATAAGGAGCAAAAAAAAGAAGGAAGGAGAAAGAAAACAGAAATGCCGAAAGAAAAGTTTTTTTATTTTATTTTTTGCAGCAAATATAAGTACAATGGCGAAATTATCTTTTTCTATCACTACAAAAAATGTAAACTGTAAAATGTGAAAGTTTTTATTATTGATTTTTTCTTATCATCAAAGAGGATTATAATTGCATTTGTTTTTTTTTTTAATTTGATATAAAAATCTATGAGACATTACCAGTCAGCCATAAATGCAGATATTGATTGGCTCAGTCTCACAACTGGCTAACTTGGGACTAGAACTCACTGTCTCCTGGTGATTGGCTCAGTCTC